GGATACACACGAGACTAGTTAACCCCCTGATAAATTCCTAGACAGAGATATTTCCACTATATCCCAAAAAATTAATTGATAATCATTTTATTAATATCATTTTATTATTATTGATAATCATTTTATTATATTTTAATATCAACTTTATCCCCTCAAATCTCACGATATCGCTTTTAATCAAAAATTACCTGGCATCCCTACTAATCCGCTAAAACGTCAATATCCTTCTCAATCCTGATAATTTTTTCGACATCCAACTTAATCTATCGATATCTCTTAATCGCTTAAAATCCCATTATACCCCTGGATATCACTCCAAATCCACTAATATCCTTTTTGCTTTCCCTCAATAACCCTATTTTAAGTCACTTGTGTTTAAAAGTCTCGCAAGTTGCTCAATTTTATACTAATTTGGAATCCACATTTCTTGAAAATCCAAATTTGGATCCGGCATTTTTCAAATTACGAACTCTAATTGATTTAAACATTTAAACTTTTGAGACAAATTTTCCTAAGATAAATCATGGAGGTAGGTTGAAAAATAATACTCCCCCCTGAATTAGTACTCCCCCCTTAAATAGTACTCCCCTTTGGAGGAGGGTTGAAAAATAGTACTCCCGGGAGTACTATTTTAGGAAATACGGTATATTAAATTATTAACAAAATTTAATTATAAGATGCAATAATTCCACAAGATTTTGCTCGAAATGAAGAAGAGGAAAACGAGAGTATTTTATTAAATTTTGTCTAAATATAAATGTTTTTATTCTTCAGTGATTTTACAAGCGCAACATGAGTCAATACAAGAGGCTCGTCGACGACGCTCAGGTACCTAACGATTTGTCGAAAAAATTATTATCCAACAACTCTCCTATGTCTGATTTTTTAATAACACCATAATGTCCAAAAGTCAATACATCGAAGGAGCTCTACGACTGAGTCGCCACCGGAATTGGACCTAGGAAATTCTGGGCTGAGTAAAAAGATAGGGGCTCAAATGTTTAAAAACCTTCCTTCGAAAAGGCCGACGAGCTAAGTCGATTGACAGTGAAATCACTCTGATTGAACAAATTTTGACAAAGTTATGATAAAAATAAGCAAAATAACCCTAGTGGAGTCGGAAAGAGCTTGTGCTTAACCCCAAGCTCTCTAGGGACATAAGTGCCATTATTTTTGTAAATTCCTTTGAAATCGAACGATACAAAAACAAGCTTTAAAGTAATTTGGGTGTGGATCAGGGGTGGCGCTGGTCTCGTATCTCGTTCTCGTATCTCGTGAAATCTCGTGTTTTTTAGAGGTCTCATATCTCGCGTCTCGTATCTCGTATTTTGCCACGAGACACGAGATATTTTTGATATATTTTAGAAAAAATGTCAGAAATTTGTGGCTATTTTAAGATCCTAGAATTAGGAAAAAAAGAAGAAATCTTGCCCATTAGTCTTCCAAAATTCTCAAATTTTCGCCTGCGGCGCTGGAAACGGAACAAATCTAGCTTGTTGGCCTTCTAAAATTCTTAAAATTTTCGCCTGCGGCGCTGGAAAATGAAGACATTTGGCTTGTTGGCCTTCTAAAATTCTTAAAATTTTCGCCTGCGGCGCTGGAAAATGAAGACATTTGGCTTGTTGGCCTTCTAAAATTCTTAAAATTTTCGCCTGCGGCGCTGGAAAATGAAGACATTTGGCTTGTTGGCCTTCTAAAATTCTTAAAATTTTCGCCTGCGGCGCTGTAAACGGAAGAAACTGGCTTGTTGGCTTCTAAAATTCTCAAAATTTTCGCCTGCGGCGCCGAAAAAAGAAGAGGGATAAATTTGGTCAAGCGGGAAATATTGGTGTAACTGAAGGGATAGAAGAATATCGGGCGATTTACTGGGATTAAGGTGAATTTAAATAGATGTGAGGATTCGGATGGATATATGGGAATCCATCAATTTCGAGAGATGGGTTGTGACAATTAAGTAGGATATTGAGTGTCTAAGAGGATATAATGAAGCATGGAGTGACTCAGAAGACTTCGCCTCCTTGTCGTGTGTCATATCTCCCGGTATCCTATATCATTCAAATCAGATTGACAACCTCAATAATCCCAAGGTCCCCTTGATCCTCTAATACCCCAATATCCTTCATAATCCGGCTGTAATCATCAATTTAAACCCTTATATTTTCGACTTTAAAATTTTATGTATGAATAATTTTGAAAAACAATAAATACATAATATCTCGTATCTCGTGTCTCGTATCTCGTGAAATCTCGTATTTTTTGAGAGATCTCGTATCTCGTTTTATCTCGTTCTCGTATTTTTTTGAGAATCTCGTATCTCGTGAATCTCGTGTCTCGTATTTTGTGGCACTTGCGCCACCCCTGGTGTGGATGTTTGTTTAATTATATACTTCCCCAAATTATATACTAACCCGGCCGTCTAGCTATGCAAAAATATATAAATATATGGTTTATAATTCAGGACAACACAACCAAGGGCAAGGATCAGGGTCTAATCAAGGTAAAAATTATCTTTATTTTTGCCAAAATATTTAAATAAATAACAGTAGATTAAATTAAATAATAAATTTAGGTGGAAGTTCTCGTCAACGAGGCAATCGACGCCGAGGAAGCATAACACGACCAGCCGCAGAAGGTTTTTATGATAAAGCAGCTCTAGCTATTTCTCTCCTTCAGCTAGTGCAAAAGGTTAATCGGCGGCTGGGAGCGAATCAGCATCTTAAGTAGATCGGATCGATGTATGTATTATCCTTCACGCCACGCCGCCTACTGCACAGCCTTAGGAAATAAATAGCTATATGCTTTAAATTATTGATGATCATAAAATTAAATTTTAATAAAATTTTCAGGTAAAGGAAAGGGAAAAGCTCGAGACGAGTAAGATGAGAACAATGACATTTAAAGTTTTTCGTACATTGGGATTTTATTTTCAGGTCCGTTTTCGAGTAACCCGACCCATCGCTGATACGTTATATTATCAAAATGTTTTCATTCGTTTAGTATTTTCCAGACCTGTGCATGGACAAGGATATTGAAATACGTATCCGGATATATCCGAGAGTTAATATCAGTCCCGTTTTGTATATAAATATTTATTTCCGACGTTTTTTCTTCTGATAACTTTTCCAAAATTGAAAGAAAAATGGAAAAAATCTGAAATTTCGGTTAACTGAACCGTTGATTTCGAATTTTTTGAGAATTTTGGAAGGCCAACAAGCAAGATTTCTTCCTTTTACTACGCCACGAACAAAATTAAAGTAAAAATGAAACATTAAGGCCTCTTTGTCAGATTAGGGATCGAACCCAAATCTATGATCTTACGCGTTTCGAATATAATTATTTTTTATTGGTAAAATGTATTTTAGTGATGTTTAGTCGCAAAAATTAGGGGCGGATATCTGCGGATTTGGAGCATCATATCAGTATCCATTTGTATCCGTCCGATTTTTAAAAAAACACTATCCATATCCGTCCGTATCCTGACATATCGCTGATATCCGGATATTATCCGTATCTGTGCAAAGGTATGGTATTTTCGATGATTAGTTTCATGAGTGAACATTACACATTAGTCTATAAAATTAGTTTTTTTTTCTAAATTTTTGATTTTCACAAAAATCAGTCACTTTTTGGGCTGGATGAATTCGACTCAGTTCGACAAGCTTTTACTAAAGATATAGAACAATAATTCAAACAAATCGGTGTCTGTTGATTAAAGTTGGCTGATATTTTGAAATCTTCGGATATCCGGATTCGGATCCAAAATTTCCGGATATCCGGCCTTTTTTCGGATCCGGATCAGCCAACCTTACTCTTAATGGTCACACAATTTTACCTTAACTAATTTTAACTCTACTCCCCCATTTCTTACATTAAAAGTTAAAAAGTAAAAAATAAATTGATTTGCGCGAGTAATATAAGGGGGTATCGGCGATGTTGAACAACAAAAAGGAAAAGTTGTTTTGTGTGTGCTCTTTCTCGATTTTCTTATTTTATTTATAAGACTAAAAAAATTATTATTTTTTTATTTTCTTAAAATTACTTGATAATTTTTTTAAATAAATATTTATTTTAAAAATTAAAAAAAATTTGTTATAAACCTTAAGAAAGCTAGTTAATTTACTCTAATTTTTACACCCATTTTTTCTGTAAAAATTAGAGCGGATTATTTTTATACACATTATTTTTGATGATCACCCTGATCTTTCTACTAAATTTTCAATTATTAAGAAACTTAACCTGAATTTTTTTAAATTAATTTCTATTTTTCGAGACAATTTAACTATCAAAATCTAACTAAATTCAATTAATTTTTCACCAAAAAATAATTTTTTACAAAAATTTTTTTCATTTCTAATAATCATTCTCTCAACTCGCTTTTTTATTTCCGCATCTTTTTCTTTAGCATTTTTAATTTATTGCTTTTACATTGCAAAGCTTTTTATATTACTAAATGCGCTAATATTACGATCATAAATTTGTTATTAATACATACAAGTTTTTTTCTTCTCCAAAAGGAAATAGTTTGTAAAAAGAAGAGAACTTTCCGGATCAGAATTTAATTTTTCCGGATTTTTATTATTTTCCGGAAAAATTTAAAGCAGAATATTTGAATATAATAATAAAACTTTCCGGAAAAGTAATTTATTTATTTCTCAAGATAAATAAAACTTTCCGGAACACTTTTCCGGATCTTATTAAATATAATTATAATAATTTTATGTATTTTGCTGTGTTTTCCGGAAAGCTTTTATACCTGAAAACTTAACCGGATTCTTATTAATATTTAATAATAAAAATCCGATTAGTTTTTCAGGCTGTTTTTCTGGTATAAAAGCTTTCCGGAAGAAACAGAAAAATATATAAAAACAATAAGAAATAATCAGAATTCCAAACCGGGAAATTCAGAAAACAATGTGAAACGTTCTTTTATAGGACAATAAAAAATTTTTTTATTTTATTTCCAATAAAAAATAGATATAAAAAATTTTAAATATTTAAGGATGTCAACATTATTTTTTAATTTTGGCAACAAAAATCGTTGGTTTTGTTGCAAATTGTGTGTATTTGTTTTATTTTTTTATATTGTTACTCTCCACATTTTGCTTTTAATTTATCGTAGGGATTTAGAATGGATGCCTCCTAGACCAGATGATTTAAGGTTGAAATTTATTTTAATCCTAGGGGAAATTCCTTTTTAGAGATATTCAAACACACCTTAAATTAAAAAATAATTTTTATTAAATTAAATACCGTATTTCCTGAAATAGTACTCCCCCCTAAATTAGCACTCCCCCCTTAAATAGTACTCCCCTTTGGAGGAGGGTTGAAAAATAGTACTCCCCCCTGAATTAGTACTCCCCCTAAAATAGTACTCCCCCCAAAATAATAAGAGACGTTGAATTATTTTATTTATTCTAAGTAGCGTTGTCGGTTTCACTTGATTCTTTGATAAACAAAACCTGAGAGGATTAAAGAGATATAATCCGATTAATTGGTGGGGTAAAAGTGGATTTTGGGTATATAAATGGATTTATATCGGATGATGAAATGGGTTCTGTATTAATCAATTGGGATTTAAAAGAGATCATTGGATTAAGGTTTGATATAGGAATTTGAGGGAATAATGAAGGGGAGTCATATTAGGCGATTTTGGTTGATTAAGAGTGATCAAGCGATAAGTTGAATCATAAATCCTTCTTAATCAACCAATATCGGAAGTACAGAAGGGATGTGGAGGATATCGGTGATTAATGCTGATAAATCACTAGACAGAGATTAGGTAATCCCTAGACACATGAGATTAGTTGACCCCTGATAAATCTTAGACACAAAGATATATCCACTATCCCAAAAATTAAATGATAATTATTTTATTACCATCAAACGCCACGATAGCAACGATACCAACTTTATCCCACTGATAATTTCTTGATTTCCACTGATATCTTTCTTTATTTCCCTTAATAACCCGTATTTTAAGTCACTTGTGTCTAATTGTCTCGCAATTTGCTCAATTTTATACTAATTCGGATATTTTTTTAGAATTTTATTAAGATTTTTTTGAAAATCAGGGTCCGGATCCGGTATTTTTCAAATAGCGAACTCTAATCGAATTTATTTAGAGATAAATTGAAATAAATTAAAATATTTTTGTAAATTTTGAAATAAATTTTCCTATGAAAAATCATGGAGGATGGTTGAGAAATAGTACTCCCCCCTAAATTAGTACTCCCCCCTTAAATAGTACTCCCCTTTGGAGGAGGGTTGAAAAATAGTACTCCCGGGAGTACTGTTTTAGGAAATACGGTACTTTAATTTAAATTAATTAGAATTGCTGCTTTCGACTCGAGTAGAAAGTTTGAGGCGTTTGATCAAGCGCTAATTTTCGTTGTTAAGTTTACGATTTGATCCACGGTCCAACTTAAATTAAACATGGATGGACATAATCTTAAATTAAAAGGGAAGAGTCTAAGAGAACATCTCCTATCTTATTTTACTGTCTTCCTAGTCAGGGTTGTCCCTTTTGCCTTATTTACAGCCCTATTTTTGACCTTTTCGCCCTATTTTTTCCCTATTTTCTCATTTGCCATATTTTTGCCCTATTTTTACCATTTTGTATATCTTTAAAAATTCCTCGGATTTTGTAAAAAAAATTGTAAAAATGAAGGATTATTGACATACTGGCCTTCCAAAATCCTCAAAATTTTTGCCTGCGGCGCAAAAAATAGACAAAATTTGGCTTCTTGAGATTCAAATTTTAAAAAATTTTCGCCTGCGGCGGTGAAAGTTGGAAGAATTCTTCGATTATGTTGCGGGGATTTGGGGATTTAGTCGTGAATGATGATACTTTTAGGGGATATCAGGTTTGGATTATCTTTGGCTTAATGGTAATTCAACCAAAGGTATTCGGGGACTCCCGAGGTCATTTCCCGACCCGACTCCCGTTTCTCGATTCCCGGGTTTTTTCACCTCCCGAGCATCACTATTGTGTTCGTTTTTCTCAGTTGTATCTTGCACAGTCCCTGATCCTGATTAGTTTAATTTAATTTAAAATAGTGAAAAATATGCATAATTAAGCTTTCTTTTCAAAATTTGAAGTATTTTTAAGTGATTAAAACATGCCCTATTTTTTGCCCTATTTTTGCCATATTTTTGAGTCGCTTCGCCCTATTTTGGTGTTTTGGAAAGGGACACCCTGTTCCTAGTAGTCCCATAAATATTATAGTATTAAAAATGATCTAATGACCTACATATATGAATGACCCATTTATTTTAAAGTCAAATTAAAGTTATGCAACAGACTCTCCCAGTAAAAAGCATCCAGACGGACCTTTACTAATGAGTGATGGATTACTTTATGTTGGAACAACAAAAGAAAAATTTAAAAAATTAAATAAAGAAAATCATAATGTCGAATATAAAATTAGAGAAATGCCGACAAAGAATTTAAAAAAGCCAATTAAACCGTTGCCGATAAGTCAGTCTTTTTTGAATGTAAGTACCTCTACTATAAATTAAATGTTTAAAATAGGGTTTGACCCCGACCCCGTACCCCGAACCCCGACCCCGTTCCCGAACGATTTTTTCACGATTCTCCCCGACCCGAACCCCGCCCCGAAAAAAGTGAAAACCCCGTACCCCGACCCGAAAAGTTTCGGGGTTATCGGGGTTTTACATACCCAAAAAATGCCATTTTTGGGAGAATTTTAAGAAAAAAATTTAAAAAATTTCCTTCCAATTTACTTTGCCCTTATTATTTTTGAAAGAAATATGAAAGAAACATCAAAACTCTTTTTCTGCTCTGTTAAGGGACTTGTGGTTGAGTGGCTTAACTGTTGGTTTTAGCGTATATTTCTATCAATAATGGATTGGGGTTGATCCAAATAAGCTGGACTCGTTTGGTTAGGGATTTTTCTTTACAAAATCAAGAGCTCAATTTTAATTTAAAATGTGGATCTATTTTTAAATATTATCAACCATAAAAACAATGTAAAGATTTTTTAGCTAAAAAAACGAAGACATCCGGCTTTTTGACCTAAAAATTTTTTAAAATTTTTGCCTGCGGAGCTGGAAATGTAAGAAATCTGTCTTCTTGGCCTTCCAAGTTTCTCAAAATTTCGCCTGCAGCGCAGAAAAGAAAGCGATACCCTGATATCCTCCAAATCCCTTATCACTCGATAACCCTTCAAATCAATGATATCCCTTGAAACTACCCTTAGTACCTACAAATCTTCCTATATCACCGGATATCCGCTTTAATCCCTCCAAATCCTCCTTAATCACCTCCAGATCTAATTAATCACTCAAATTTCTCTTATTTCCATTTAATCCCACCTTATTCTCATTAATTTGTGAATAAATTAACTAAAATAGACTAAAACTACTTATTTTTAGAGCATTTTTTCTTTAAAAAATTTTTTCAGTAAACCCCCGTACCCCGACCCGAACCCCGACCATATTTTGCTCCCCCGACCCGAACCCCGCCCCGAAACAATTCGAAAACCCCGTACCCCGACATACCCGCCCCCGAACGTTCGGGGTCAAACCCTAGTTTAAAAATAACAAAGAATATTTCTTGGAGAGAAGGGGGATGAAAATATTTTAATGTTTTTAAGTTTATAGAGTGGTTTCTGGTTCTTATATCCATGTTTATATCCATCCGCACTTTTGCCATATCCATCATCGGGGGTTTTTCCTTTTCCTACCCTCTGCGCCAAATAGGAGAATTTTTTTGGCACAAACAAAAAACCAGGTACCCTTACCTCGTTCGTAGAATATGATCCAGGATCTCCGGGATCATATATCCATGTGCATCCAAGTCCGTTCACTATTCTTGTGCTGATTTTGAGAGGAAATTAAACTAAATTATTGTGATTGTCCTCCATGTCTCTAAAATTTACTTTAAGTATTTTCTATTCCAGAAATTCAAAAAATCAGCAAAAATTTTGAAACAAAAAAGTACATTGCCTGGCAATTTTATACTGTTTGGGGGAGTTTTAAATCAAGCCTATTTAGAATTAACAATGAATTGGCTTTGTAATATTTATGGACTTCCAAGAATTAAAAAAATTGGGAAGAATAATAAAAAGAGGCAAATTAATTTAAATGAGGGAAATATTGAATTATTAAATGTTACTTTATTTGTTGGGCTGGATTCAGGCAAAATATGTTCACAAATCATCAAAACTTGGCCCCAAGTATTTTTTAACTCTTAGCTTTTGAGATATGTATATTCTTAATGACCTTACAAAAAACTTGGTTGGCTATTTGATGGGCCAACCAAGTGTATTCTACTAACCATTATTTAAGATCCCCTCAGCAGTGACGGCTGGGTGATCCGGTAACCAACACCAAAATTTCTTTGACCTCGAACCTGTTTTGAAAAAGACCTATCTAAATTTTTTTTCTTATACTGGCTCTCATAAAAGGTAGAATTTTTGGTGCTTAAGGGGGATTTCTTATAGCAATGTTGAACAAAATTTTTTATTTAATTAATTTTCGGTTACTTGTTTGACTTTATTTGACTCACAAAATGTGAAACATCCACAAATTGATGTAGAAGAACAAAAAGCTTTGGACGAACCTTTGAGTTGGGGTAGACTACGTTATGTGCAAATACTCAATGCACGTGCACAATTACTTGCAAAATTGGGAGAGGTGATTTTAACAAAAAAATTTTCTTAATTGAAAGCATAAAATGGGTCTGGGACAATAAATATTTAAAGTTCCAAGTGAAAATTATGGTATACTTTTTAGACTATAAAATACCCATAAGCAGGGATATCCCAGCTCACGTGTAGGATGTTGAAGAGATTTAAGGAGAGTTATTGGGAGCGATCCTGCTTGTGAGGGATTGTTATGTACTTCCTTGCACTTTTGTAGCAAGGATGGAGCTCTTTCGATACCGTCTCATATTAGCACAGTCTTTTCTGGCCGTTCCGCTTCCGCTTTCTAAAATCCGGAAGGGCGAATCCCAGTTTTGTTAGTAGTAATGGGTTACTGAATCTATTTGACGAATCTTTAGCTTTTATTGTTCAGCATCCCTTTAATTTAAAAATTATTTTGTAAGGAATCAATTCCTTTTGTTCTGGCCGAAAGCGATGCAATTTGGTTAAGGAATCCATTTGAAGAATTATTTCCAAATTTAAATTCATTGGATGATGTAGATTTAGTTTTGCCTTTAAATTCTCAAAGCGGGGCTAGTAAAGGGCAGAGATTTGCTTTTGATCCAATGTTTGCTTTTGCGACAAATGCTACTAGATTGGCTTTACAAAGAATGAATAAATTATTAAATGGAGAGAATTCTTCGACTTCTTTGATGGATCAGGTGGATTTTTTTAATTTTCAATCTTATAGTTAGCTTAAAACTATATAAAATGACCGGGCATTTAATTAGTAAATACGTTCTATGCGATCAGCTATGTCACTAAAACATTATAGGGAGTCATCATTTTAATTTTCAAGGGCCAATAGACCATAATTCTTCTAACAAACCAGAAATTCTGCCAATATAACGGTTCCGCAGTTCCAGTTCATAGATGTTTCCGAAAGCCCCCAGGTTTCGGAAGCAGTTCTAGAAATTGGGAAATAACTGTGTCCAGTTCTTTTGGATATCCCCTAATTAATTATCATTTTATCAATTTAAGGATGTCCTTAACGAATTATGTTCTAGTCAATATTCTGGGCTTGTCTGTCGTGATTTTGATAGGTCAGATATAGCCGATGGTGCTTGGCTTAAATTAAGCGAAACAGAACGGCTTAACGCTGCTAAAAAATTTGGGCATTGGCCTTACATTGTAAATAATAATTTTTATGTTGGAGTGCATAATAAAATGGCTAGGTAATTAAAATTTAATTTTAAACTTTAATCGCTTTAAAACACATCTCCTTGGGGCGAAAATTTTTCATCATACATATATGTAATGAGGTAAATTGAAAGTATCGCCTATCTAACAAGGCTTGGTCCGGTTAACCGTAACCGTTATTTTTTTAGCTCAATTTGCAGATATCCCCAGACTTATTTCGACTTTTTTACCTCAGTCTTAAATTGAGCTTTTCTATTATTTAATATCTAAAAGTGAGCTCTAACTGTAATTTAATTTAGACAGGCCATTAACGGTCTATGGTTTTTAACTGCAAAACAGAAATTGTGTAGTCTTTCAAAAGCTAGACGAGTTCTTAAAAAATACGAAAAAGTGTGATGATTGTTGGTGAAAAATTAAATTGATATCGGGTAAAAATAATATTTTAATTTATTAATAATTGATAATTAATCTTACTATTTTATTTATACTTATCTTTGTTGTCCTTTCTTGCTAATTTTTGTCTCACTTGTTAATATTTTATTTGATTTTGATAAAAAAAAATACTTTTTTACATACATAGATAAGTGTTCGCATATTGTTTTATTTTATTATGTACAGTTAAGATTTATAATTAGACTAAAGAGTAGATCCGGCCAAATAATTTGAAAAAAATTGATTAGTGCTTTTTTCATTGGGTATAGGCAAGGAATGGGCTGTCTTCCGTTTTCTCGGAATTTTTTTGTCTGTTCCGCCTCAGCGTTCCATCTCCGCTTTTGAAAAATGTGATATATCTCATACTTAGATAGGCTTTTTTCCTGTTACTACCATTGAACTTGTCGGAAAATCCAGAGAAACTTTTCTGAATAATTATAAATTGTCGGAATTCTCATTATAACAAAAAATATCAACATATCTTTTTGACTCCATTTTCTTTACTGTTTATCTATAACTCTCCGCTATAAATAAAAATTTTTGAATGTTTCTTTTTATAATTTCATCGCTTATTTTTCAATTTATTGGTGAAATATCAAAAAAAATTTCAAATAAATTGTTGCTTATTATTTTATTTTTACACACAAACTTTGGCCCAAAATATGGCCAATTATTGATTGTTTGGAAATTTTATTTTGAAAAAAATGTATAGTATTATTGAAAAAAGATAAAGATTTTTATGTATTTTAGAAATTTATTCCAAATTTATGAGTGACATTTAAATTATATTTAAGTTTGGAGATTGAGGCTTACTCACAGTTTAATAATTTAGACTCTTTTCAACCCCTTCGAGATCTCGACTGTATTTAGTAGAACCTCGATAACGTGTTTCTCGTCAGGGTTGTGCCAAAATTGATTCTAAAAACCGAAGGGCGAAACTGGCACTCGCTGCCTCTCAGTTACCTCTCAAACGAACCGCTGGTTCACTTATGCTCCATAATGGTATCCCTGTTATTATAGAGGCATTCATGCTTCACGAGCTTGGATAATAATTTATATCCATTGTTTATCATAACCGTTGTACCCTTTGATTAGTTATGGCCGTTATACTCTTAAAATTATTTCCAGTCTTCAGTAAAAAAGTGCTTCTTAGACTTTTTTCGCTTGCGGACACTTGGCAACCTGCTGTGCATTATTATTATTTTTGTTTTAAAACCCCCATTAGTTCATCATAACAAATACAAAAACTATTTAAAAACAAAAAAATATTAACTTCTTTGCATATGTATAAGCACGCAAACATTTTACATAGTACGCTCCTGTCTACCCCAACGCAGTCTACTTGAGGGCTCATAACTCGGTTCAGAAATGTTGTGTCAAGTCAATTTTGGTATTTTCGGACTCAGCTCTTCAAGCCGCGTCGAATGGTACCTAAATCGACGTCCTACGACATTTTTACGTACAGCTATGCGTTGCGGCAGTCCATGCAGCGGTAGACTGGCTTTTCCCCTATTTTACATAAATTCAATAATTTTTCCTCTCTCATTCCCTTTTTCTTTTCAATTTTTCCACTTTCTCCTCTCGACAGACTAGAGAGAAACGAGAACCGTCAACTTCCGCCTAATACTCCCACAAACAAAAAAAAATTTTTTTCATCATCAAAAGCATTGTTTTGTCTATGTTTGTTTTATTCATTTTCTCCCTATATACAAGTCCATCTAAAAAAATAAAAAAAAGAAAAATATATTTTCAATTCAATTCTACTCATAGCGCCGTAAAATATTTTTTTTTCTTTTTTCTATTGCTTTATAAAAAAACTTTTTTTTACATTTGCCAAAAACTTTGTGGCGCTTTTATACACGCAAAAGTTGAAAAGCCAAAAAGGAGGGGGAATAGAAAAAAACTTTTTTTTGCCTTCATTTGTGGAACTTTTTTTATTAGTTTTTTGTTTGTTTATGACGAATTTTAAATTAAAAATATTTTTCTATCCAATAAAATTACAAATTGATTCCCAATTTTAATTTAATCTATTTAATTGTATTTGTCCGCAATTAGAAAAAATTTATGCGGACACAATCCGTTGTCCGCAACAGAGCATTTGGGGGTGCGCGCATAGACAGACTGTTGTGTCCGCACTTGCAGAAAGAACATAAATGAAAATAAATAACCCAACATGGGGTTGGATGGTGGCACAGTCGGTTGTGCTTTCGGTTTGGGCTCTTTCCGTGATGGTTCAATTCCATCTCCCATCCACAATTTTTCTACAGCATGAAAACATCGGACATTATAATGGCGCAGTCGCACAGGCCGGGCATAGCCCGAGGAAATTTAAGCGAACCTTCAAATGCTGTGATGATCTGACATTCTGTCACTGTGGAGAGAAAAAGGAGAAGACCCTGTGAGAAATTAAAATGCCTGAGTTGTGATAGGCTAGCCGGTGGTGTGAAGGCTAATACTTAAAAAAAAATGCGTAAGGCGCATGAAGCGCAGCATATGCCACAAAAATGGGTTTCTGTGTGTGCTCTCCACAAATCGAAACAGATGATAGTTATTGAAGACAAGCAACAAGCGAGGACGCTTGATTTCGCAAGGCGGAAGGAGTGTTGTGTCCGCACTTGCAGAAAGAACATAAATGAAAATAAATAACCCAACATGGGGTTGGATGGTGGCACAGTCGGTTGTGCTTTCGGTTTGGGCTCTTTCCGTGATGGTTCAATTCCATCTCCCATCCACAATTTTTCTACAGCATGAAAACATCGGACATTATACAGACTAATTAATCCATGTTGCGTAACTAATTTAAAAATCCGATACCATAATGTACATTCGCGGCAGCCTTGCTTGTAGCCCTCAAAAAATACCTTATGGACCAGAAAATAATGGTAGTTATGAACTGTGTAGGTTTTTAAACCTAAATACGAGACTCTGTAAGGGACTGAAGACCTCGTATATTTAGGTTTAACATTAAATATGACTGTACTCTAATACTCTAATACAGAGATTTCTCTCTAATACAGAGTACTCTAATACAGAGATTTCCGGATCGTTCTGGATATACAGCAGCCTTTCACTTTCAAGATTTCGCTACTCCTGCTCCGGCATCCCATTCTGACTAAACATGAATGCTTTGATTCTGAGTAAAAACTGTGGCCTCTAAACTTAATTATCCCTCTTTATTTCTCACTTGATAATTCGAGGTAACGGGTAAAAATAAATGATTATCCCCTCCACTATTTCCCGCCCCTCTGTGTTTTAAGCGAGAATAAATGAACATAAAAAATATAATTTAAATAAATAATGAGTTTTGTTGTTTCCCAAAACTTTCCCACGTTTTTATGTCTTTTTCAATCCTCTTAAATCCTTTGGGAATAGACTTGGATATCAGGCATTTTATATTATAATCCTTTATGTATTTCTAGAATGTGTTGAAAACTTTAATAGGAATTTTTAAGAAAAACATATTTTGTTAGGTTTGAGGTGTGTTTCGGATACAGTATATCTAGAATAATTAGCCACTCTCAAATAAGTACACCCTACCTATTAATTACAGTTTTTGGGTACTTTCTGTATATCCAGAGAATACCCGAAATTTTCTGTCTCTAATATCCAATACCGGTTTCGAATATTAGAGAGTATCATTTAGGATATCGGTTTCGGTGTTTAATATTTCATTCCTAAGGCTATGCACGAGGCGGCGTAATTTACCGGAGAACACAACGGCCCGAAATCTAACTTTCTACATTATCTGTAGGGGTAATAGCTGGCCCAGTTCAGCTTTATACCAAAGGCTGAACTGGGTCCAATATCTATATCCAATATCCACTATCTAATATGAACTACTGCAAAAATTCCCGATTTTGAGTTTAGGGTTTAAACACCACCTAACAAATAGTATTTTAAAAACCGCCGGAAGTCACAAAATTTTTATCCTTCCCAAGGGTGTACTTAAAAATGGAAGGTTTTCAAGTCTCGACGTAAACCTCAGTTTTTCCCTATAATTTTCTCCAATAAAGTATCTTCACTCTTTTTATTTTCTCGAAGTTTCCATCGATTTTGTATTGAGCAAAAGACCGCCGGAAGCTTTATAGTAAGAGAGTCCTCGCAGTAAAAAGTGGCACGAAAAAAGAAGAAAAAATTGTGTATATATTACTGCAAGGCTTGTAAGGCCATTCTCTCTATTTCTTTCCAGAATGACGAATAAATTTAACTTTTTCTTTTAAATTTTAAATTTTAGCTGAACCTTTTTGACCATAAAATTTGATTAACTAAAAAAACTTTAATTTGGTCGTTTCTTTTTTTTCTATGATGCTAGTTTAGTATGTGGTTCCGGTAAAAGTCCAGCTCGCTATCTATATGTCCGCAAAAGTATTTCTGCAAAACTCATTTTTTACTGTATTCTCCTTCTTTCCTTTGATGGGTCGACAGATTGGCGCAACTACATTGTGACGTAAATTTAACGAATACAAATTTTATGATAAAGTCCCGCCAAGATTTATGGAATTTCACATAGAAATTTTTAGCTGTTGTCCAGTTTAAGCATCCAAACAACCTTAAGCGTCCAAACATCTTCCTCTATACCACTTCAATCCACAGATATGTATCTATTACGCTAAAATTTCTATGTGAAATTTTATAAATCTTTTGGCGGGACTTATTTTTTTATTTAATTATTTGTAAATAAACTCTTTCTCTTGATTTACGCCATAATGCAGTAGCGCCAAGTTGTCAACCCATCAAAGTAAAGATGTGCAAGGGAGGAGAATGCATCAAAAAATGATTTTTGCAGAAATGCCATTTGCGGACATATAGATAGCGAGCTGGACTTTTACCTGTGGTTCCTAGAAAGAATAATTCGGTCTAAGAAAGAATCTTATCGGGCTTCAAGCCTGGTTTAAAATTTTCTCCGACCGGGTTTCAGATTGATTCCTGATCACTAGTTATCAGATCTACATATATTATAAGTAGGGTTGTCCAAAAAATGAAAATCCATGTTTTGTATGTCTTAAAGTAAGAGGCCCAAAAATGATGCTTTTACGTTAGTCCGAGTATTTTAGGACACGGTTCTTGATTTATATTTTTACCTATTTCATTCATTTTTCCATATTTTAGCAAATTTTGCATATTTTGGTTCATATTTCGTCATTTTTTGTAAAATTTTGCCAAAAATTGTCCAAAATTTTGTAACCAAATTTTGGAGTTTAATCTAGTTTAAAGCAACTTGAAGCCTTCTTTTCAAAGAATTACTTCTCCAGCTTTTTAAAATTAAAATCGTCTCCTTTTAATAATTTTCCCTTTTATTTTTAATATTTTCTCATGAAAATTCTAAGTAAATATAAACTTTTATTTAAAACTTGATTTATATTTTTCCTTTTCATTAACATTTTTTACTTAATATATATTAAATCAATAATTTATTTATTTAATCAAAAGTTTCCCAATTTTTTTATTTTTTCTATTTTTGTCCCAAAATTGTGGTCAAAAATAAAAATATTTTAATTAATTAGTTAAAAGAAAAATTTATTTTTAGATTAATAAAATAAAAATAATTTTTCGGTTATTAATAAAAAAACTATTTTTATGAACGTGACAAATAGTTTTGATAAGAATATTAAATATGTAAAAAAAGTTTTTTGAATAAAAATGCCAAATAAATGTTTTTAGTAACATTTATTTTTTAATTATTATTTTTAAATATAAATGCCTACAGAATTAATAAGATTTCCGATTAATTATTTACTAACTTTTTTAAAAAAAATTTTAAGAGGAGATTTTAATTAATACCTCTATTTCTTAAAAGAAGAAAATTATATGTATTTTAGGAAAACATTTCCTAAAATACAATTAAAAAATTGGTTTTAATGGCTCTAATTAGAGAGAAGAAACTAGATTTCGAACAAAAATATTGATAATCGAGATAGGGCTTTTCCGAGATATCTTGTGCAATTTTTGGACGACCCCCCACAGTCCTCTCTATTCCCAATTCAATGTGGGGGTATTTTTCAAGTATGAACGGGAGATTGACTATGTACCTTGTAGATTTCATTACCAAGGCAAAGCATTTATCAGTTATCGAAAGACTCAGTAACGACGAAATTAAATTTAAAAAACTGTGCGAAATTCGAAGACAAACAAGACCAAATTGTCTCTGATCCCGAAGCTATGGGCTAGACGATTTCTTGAATCCTCTCATGTTTTAATTTTATTTTGTTCAATCCTTCTATAATTTATATTTCCAAAAATTTGACTTTTGTATTAAGCTCATAATAAATTTAAAATTTTTTTCTGAAAAATTTTTCCAAAAAAAATAAAAAAAAATATTTTTTCTCTTCCCTTAAAATTTATTTATTTATTAAAAGGATTTTACTCTTAAAACTTCTTCTTCTTCTTCTTCTTTTTTTTATTTTTTTCCACAATTTATTGACATTTTTTATATTTTTTATTTAAAGCCTCCCCATTTTTCTTCAATTTAATACTTTAACGAAATCGATGCTTTTATTTAACATTACTCTTTACTTTAAATATTTTTCTTATTTTTATGTGAAAAAAAATTTTTTTTGAAGAACAAAAACCTCTCCTTTTTCTATCCATAATTTGTCTTTTAAAAATGCCTTTTTTTGTTGAATTTTTTTTCTAGGCAAACTCCCAAGACACTCATTTTTAAATTGCAGGAATATTTATTTATTGGGGAATTTTTTGGGTAGAAAAAAATTTTTTATTTTTTTGGTTTAGCTTGGTTGGAAAAATTGATTTTAAGTAAGCCTCGACATTAGAGTTGTCGGTTAGGAACCGAAGGTCTTTTTTGAAATTAATTTCGGGTAGCCGGAAAAATATTTGTTAGAGCCGATTAATTATCATCTATTAGTACTTCGCCAGAATCGAAAATTTGACCGGAACCGGAACTTTACAACCAACCGGAATCGGAACCAAAAAATCTCGGAACTTCCGGCCTACCGGAACTTCCGGCGAAGCTCTATCATCTATAGTTAACCTTTTTTACATAATTTACAACCCTGCGGCTTTCGATTTTCCATCTATTCGTTAATTCCTTTCATCTAGTGGTTGTGATTTATAACATCCTTCAATAATATAACAGTCATCTTTTTAATTTTTATTTTTCCCTAGTTGTTCCTTTGAAAGAGCTTATTATCTAATTTACACCAAAATAACAACTTTTTTCAAGACAAATTTTTCAAAACATTCGACTTGTTTATTTTTCGATAAAATTAATTTTTCGTTGATTTTTGTACCGGGACAAAGAAAAAAATTTATTAATTATTTTACAAAACACGTTGTAATTTTTTTGCTCTTTTAATTAAAATTCTTGTAATTCAAAGTATAATCCCCCTTTCTTGTCATTAAACTTCTTATCATTTCTTTTTTTATTTTTTTATTCAATGAATGGCTTTTTTTAAAGAATTTTATATGCATGTGCATTTTTGTTTGTTTGACATTTTTTGTTTTTCATTCTCCTTAAGGTTTATACTAAAGACCCAAATGGTCAACATCCAAAGGATCAACTAATCTACTCAAGTCCTGAACTTAGGGGAATATATAGAATTTTTTATATTTTCTGTTTTAGCCTCTAAATAATAGATCCGGTTAGTGTACTCGAACCCTTAGTCTACCCAAATGATCAACCTTCAAATGGTCGTCTTATATTGGAGTCTTGAACTAGGTGTGACTTTAGAGGATTTTTTCTTGTTTGCTATTTTACCCTCTAAATAAGAGATTTCGTTAGTGTACTCGAACCCTCATTCTACCCAAATGATTGTCTTATATTGGAGTCCTGAACTTGAGAGATTTTAAAGAATTTTTCTTTTTTCCTACTTACCCTCTAGATAAGAAACGTCTGTTATTAGCTGTGCACAAACCTTTAGTCAACCCAAATGGTCAACCTCAAATGTCGTCTTATGGGGGGTCTTGAACTAGATAGGACTTTAGAGGATTTTCTCTTATTTGCTATTTTACCCTCCAAATAAGAGATCCTGTTAGTGTACATGAACCAGAAACTTCGACCCCTTCGACCTAAAACTCGCCCAGAAAAATTCCAACTTTCCCATACTTCTTCTAAGTATCCCCCTCCTCTCAGTTCTTACGTTTTTATCTCCAAAAGATCTCGATCTTTTGGGTTTACAAACCTAGTGTGGGGTGAGAGAGGGCAAACATACCTAATATTTAAAAGAGACATATCAGCTTCCTCTCCGCTTCACTTATTATTGGCTTTTCCGACTTCCGGTTGCTGCTAATACCCCTCTTCGGCCTTTATATATATATACACTCTAAGAGAGAAATATACTAGAAAATATATACCTCCTCCATCTGGCAATGTGGCAAGGACGAGAAATGCTCCTTCCCTTCCCTTTAATATCCCTCCATTAAATATCTAGTAGTGTATATCTCTCTCTGACAGACTAGTAGGGGGTACATCTCTCTCAATATATTTTATTTTTTTTGCTTTTTTTTTGCTAGAAAATGGCCAAATTCATCGATAAATTGCTTTTAAAATAATATGTACTCTCTCTAGCTTTTTTACTCTTTTTCTCTTTTTTACTAAGACCTTTTGTAAAAAATTTTGCTTTTATTTTGTTATCAGAAAAATGAGGGCTTTTTCACTCAATAATTTTTTTAAAAATTTATTTTCCCTCTCTCAGCATTGTTCTTTTAACCTCATTTTAACTTTACACATCAAATTATGAGATGTGTCACTTTTGAGGAGCGCTAAATAACAAATTTTCTTAAATGGCAAAATGAAATTTTGCCATTTTTACCAAATTGCTCCATTTAACCAAATTGACATATTAAAATTTTAAAAGGTTTGGCATTATGATTTTTGACATTTTGTCATTTTTACAGGTTTGTGACATTTTGTCGCATTGGTGAATTGTCTTATTTTACCTTGCCTGGCATTTTGTCGTTCTTTGTTTTTTTGTCAAATAAACTTAATTTTACTCATCTTCTTCATTATTTCTATCCTTTTAACAACTTTTTTATATTTGTTTTTTTGTTTCTATCCTCTTTCAATATTCTCTACTTATTCTCCAAAATCCTTCAGGCATTATTTCATATATAGGCCAAAAAAATTTTTTTTTGTTTTTTTCTTATCCATCCTCCCTCACTTTCTCCCTCATCTAAAATATATTTTTTTCCTCATTTTAATGTGCTTCTCTTGTGTGGATAACCCTCCCTGCTACTACATTATTTTTTATTTTCCTTACTTCATCGATAGGTTTCTTCCCTTCCGCCGTGTGGCCAAATAATGTTTTGAGGTTATTAAGATGAGAGAACCTTTTTGTGTGTTTCAACACTTTTTCTAGAAGTTTAGTTAAGGGAAAAATTTTTTAATTAAAAAATACATTCAATACCCAACACAATTTAGAAAATTTAGTTGGCCATAGATTGGCGGATAATCTCCGGATGTCAGGATTCGACAGGATTCGATATATGGACAGAACTTTTCTGGATAGCCTGGCTTTTTTGGACCGGACCCACCAGTCCTTAGTTTCCAACTACAAAATTTCAGATATATTTAGTTGACCATCAGACCATTAGATGGGAAAAGCAGATACACGCTATTTAGTTTTTGCCCCACGTGCGCACCATAGGCGAATCTGAATTCAGAGTTCCAACTTCTGATTTCTGAAAATTTAGGCTGATTTCCGACTTCCGAGTTCCAGCCATTTCCGATTTCCGACACCTTCGTCATTTCCGATTCACCTCTTGTGCGCATTTTTACAATTATGGTGCCATATGGGCTTCATTTCACCATTTTTTCTATAAACAAATTTTCTGTTCATTTATTTCACCAAATAAATCAATCTATTCAAATCCTTGTTTATTTATCAAAAAAAATTTTTTTTCACAATTTCACCCTTAAATTACATTTTTTTCTCTTATTTTTTGACTCATTGCATGATACATGTCAACATAAGAAAATTTTTATTAGAAAGAGAAAAAATGTTTTTATTTGGAAAGGAGTACAATAAAATAAATAAAAATATTAGCTTTTTTATTTTAAATTTGTTTTATTTTTTTGTTTTTATTTTGTTTTTATATGCATTTTTGAATAGAAAAAATTTTTTTGACATTTTTTTATTTTAAAAAATTTTTAAATACGTAATTTTTATTTTTTTGTCAAATATGGGTTATTTAAATTTTATTTTTCTTTTATTTTTTTATTTAAAAATGTTCGTGTGTTTGATATTCTTTGTGTGTTTATTTTGTTATTTTTTGTGTTTTGAAATTTAATTAATTAATTACGTGTTAATTAATTATTTATTAATTACGTTTTGTATAATCATTTTTGTATTTTTTTCTTTTATGAGCCTGATTTATTTTTATGTTGGTGCCTCCACACAAATCTGTTACAAAATTAATTCAAAAATAAAACTTTCATGAATTTTTCTTTCAATCAAGGACATATAAAACCAGGGTTCGGATCAAGAAAATGTTAAGTGTAATTACAAAAAGTTCAGTTTGGAATTACATAGGTGGAAAAATTTTCAAATATAAGTACGCTACAAAAAAATTTTCAAAAAATTTCTGTCTTGCGCCGCAGGCAAAAATTTTGGAAGTTTCAATGTTAAATTTAATTTTCTAAACAAAGTCTATTTGTAAGTACGTACTTACAAATAAATGCATTTTAATTTTAAAAGTACAATAGTCGATTTGTAAGTACTGTACTTCCAAAATAAGTACGAATCCGAACCCTGCATAAAACAAAGGTGCAAGCACGTATCTCATAATTATGGAACACCTTAAATTTATATTTTTGGCGATACAAGTTTATTTAAGTTTGCTACAAATAGATTTATTTAAGATAACTCTTAAATAGGAAAATATATATTATGTAAAATTTTAAAAGTTTTCGACTTTCTACAAAAAACTGAAAAAAATCAGAAAACTTTTTCATCAAAAATAATAATTAAATTTTTTCCTCCTTCACTATACAATTTTTAAAAATTTTTTTTGTTATTTTTTACAATAAAAATAATTTTTATTTACAAATTTTAAATATATAATTATTAAAAAATTATTTTTTTTAGCTAATTACCCTATTCTTTCTCTTTTTTAATAAATTTATTTTATTATTTTGCTACAGACATTTTTGTCTAAAAAATTATTTAAAAATTCATAAAAATATTCAAAATAACAACAAAAAATCAATCTTTATTTGTCTTAAAACGTCAGAAAAAATTCCAGAATTAAACAAATTTCTGAGGGGCCGGAAGCCCCAATATTAGTCAAATTAAGTATTGTATAGCTAAAAATTGTTTTTATAATTAATTGGAAAGTAGAGGAATTTAAATAGATAAAGAAACAACGATTGCAGAAAATTGTGGTGATTTTTTGAATTTTTAAATTAAAAAAAACACAATTTTTGAATAATTTATAAGGACTTGGAATATTAATATTTTGGTAATGTTGTCATTATTCCTCCCTTGCCCATTCTATTACCCTGAAAATTGGTTGTATTTAGGTCAAGATATAAAAATGATAACTCATAGATACGTCTTATTAAGCTGAGAGGAATGAGCTACAATTTGTTGCTATCCCATTACATATCTATAGGAAAGACGATCGAGAGTATATGTCGGAAATAACTTAACTAAAGTTTTCTTATATAGACAGCAAGCAAAAGGTCTATAAATTTTTACGGATTTTTAATCCAATTACTGAACTCTTTAGTTAGAAATCCTTCTCCCATCCTCTTCCCTCAGCCTTCCACCCAGATTCCCCACGGTTTCCTATAACTTTGTTGCCAAACTTCCTAGTTATATGTATCATAAAACTATTTTTATTTAAAATTTAAACATTTTTAGAAGCCCAGAATCACAACAACCAACTCGATCGAAAATCATCACATTTCACAGAAACAACAGTTAATATTGTCCGTGTCTGTTTACGTCGAGTAAGAGTAATTCGTTGTCGTTTACCTCTCGAAACGATAAAACAAAACAACAAAAAAAGTTGTCAAAACGACGCCTTCAATCCTGAAGTCGGAGAGATTAACAGCGTGTTTCAAAACAATGGGCTGCACAATGAGTCAAGAGGAGAGGGCGGCCTTGGAGAGATCAAAAATGATAGAGAAGAATCTGAAGGAGGAATTTGTTCACGTAATCTTTTTCCTGAATACTTCAAAAAAATTTTCAAAATTTTTATAAATCAAAAAAATGATTTCGGAATTTTTTAACAATTAAATATTTTCAAAAAAATTAATTTCCCGTGCCGGGAATCGAACCCGGGCCGCGTGGGTGAAAACCACGAATCCTAACCACTAGACCACACGGGAACACACTAGGTTTTCTTTAAAAACTCTTTTCTTTCAATAAAACTAGGCTAGAATAAATAGAGTGATGATCGTTTTTATTAATGTAATTAATTTCTCTTTTGCTTTAATAATGGAAGAGAAATGAAAAAATTTTCTAAAAAAATTCTATTCAAATTTCAGAACTCCCTTATTGGATTTTTCATATTTACAATTAATCTATTCATTTTTATATCAATTTCAGGCCTCCAGGGACATCAAATTACTTCTGCTCGGTGCTGGAGAATCTGGAAAATCGACAATTGTGAAACAGATGAAGTTAATATTTTTTTTAATTTTTTAAAAATAAAAAAAATTTCAAGAATTATCCACGAGTCAGGCTTTACAGCAGAGGACTACAAACAGTATAAACCGGTAGTTTATAGCAACACAATCCAATCCTTAGTGGCTATTTTACGAGCTATGGGCAATTTGTCTATTCCTTTTGGATTGCCTGAAAGAGAGGTAAAATATTTCAGTAGATCGGTTATGTTCCCTCGAAAATTTAATAAAATTTTATTTGAAAACTGAAAAACCTCGACTCTTAATTTCGTTTTTGTTTTAATGACTTAAAGATTGACTTAAAAAAATTTACAAAAATATTATTTGTAAATTTATTTGTAACTTAAAGGTACCCTATTTACAAAAATATTATTGACGGTTAATTAATGTTTCTTAAATTTCTTTGTAAAAATTTAAATTCTTCCTTAATTGTTCTATAAGCAGGACCTATTGTTGTATTTTCCTTAGCTGCCGTATTTCCTATAATAGTACTCCCGGGAGTACTATTTTTCAACTTTCCTCCAAAGGGGAGTATTATTTGAGGGGATGAGTACTAATTCAGGGGGGAGTACTATGGAGGGAGACTACAAACAGTATAAACTATTCAAAAATAACACCCCTTCTCTTAACTTCAAAATGGAAGGGGATTCTTTTAATAACTAATAAACTCAAAAATATATTAAAATAATTTTTAAAATTTTCAGTTAGACTCCAAGTTAGTAATGGACGTTGTTTCCCGTATGGAAGACACAGAACCTTTTAGTGAAGAATTGCATGCAGCAATGAAGCGATTGTGGACTGATTCGGGTGTTGAGGAATGCTTTTCACGTTCAAATGAATATCAATTGAATGACTCTGCCAAATAGTTGGAAGACTGAAAATTTTTTAAAATTATTCTTCCCCAATTTTTTTTAGCTTTCTCGATGATTTGGAACGTTTAGGACAGCCCAATTACGAACCTACAGAGCAAGATATACTTAGAACTAGGGTTAAAACTACAGGAATTGTTGAGGTGCCAAAATTTTTGAATTTTAAAATTTTTAAAAATTTCTAGAATTTTAAAAAATTTTTCAAAATTTAGGTCTTTTTCACCTTTAAATGTCTAAATTTCAAATTATTTGACGTTGGAGGACAGCGTTCTGAACGGAAAAAATGGATTCACTGTTTTGAGGTTACAAGAGAATGTACTTGATATATAAAGATTATTTTTAATATTTTTAGGATGTTACAGCCATTATTTTTTGTGTGGCAATGTCTGAGTATGACCAAGTATTGCATGAGGACGAAACAACGGTAAATTGCTTAGAAAGCATTTATTTTATTGAGTGATATTTGTTATTTAAGAAAACCTAGTGTGTTCCCGTGTGGTCTAGTGGTTAGGATTCGTGGTTTTCACCCACGCGGCCCGGGTTCGATTCCCGGCACGGGAAATTAATTTTTTTGAGAATATTTAATTGTTTGAAAAATTCAAAATTGATTTTTTTAATTTCTGAAAATTTTTAGAATTTTTTAGAAATTTTTAAAATTTATTTAAATTCATTTAGAAAAAATTTTAGAAATTTTTAAAATTTATTTAAATTCATTTAGAACCGAATGCACGAGTCTCTTAAATTATTTGATTCAATTTGCAACAATAAGTGGTTTACTGATACGTGGGTTTTTTATTTAAAAAATTTTTTTTTGAATTTTAAATTTTTTTTTTAAATTTAAATAATTTTTTTAAGGTCCATAATTCTATTTCTCAATAAAAAAGATTTATTTGAAGAAAAAATTAAAAAGTCTCAACTCACTGTTTGCTTCCCAGAATATAACGGTAAAAATTAAATTTCAATTTTACTTAATATTAAATAATTTATTAAAAAAATTTTTTTTTTGATTTTTCTAAAATTGACTACAAATGCCAAAAAAAATATGCCAGAAAATTAAATAAATTTCAAACAATTAAAAAAAATTTTTTTATAAAAAGGCCGTCCCGACTACCACGAAGCTTCCGCCTACATCCAAGCCCAATTCGAAGCCAAAAATCGTTCTACAAAAAAAGAAATTTATTGTCACATGACTTGTGCTACAGACACCACAAACATTCAATTTGTATTTGATGCCGTAACAGATGTTATAATCGCCAATAATTTGCGAGGATGCGGCCTATATTAAATTAAAAATAATTAATTATTTTTGTTTTTTGATCTTTAAAAAATTTTGTTTTCTTAAAAATAGTATTTACTTATATATTTTAAATTTTAGAGAGGGTTACAACAAGAATTTGAAAAAAAATAATTTTTGGAATTTTGTTGGATTTCAAATTAAAATTTTTTCCTAAGCGAGGTAAATGCCCAGCTCGTCCTCAACCCGTCCGCAACAACTTTCTGCAAAACACGCATTTTTGCAGAAAATCACTTGCGGACATGTTGAGGACAAGCTGGCCATCTACCCTTAGATAGTAACCCTTGTTAGTAAATAATTTACATATTGACTTTATTCAATGTTTATTTAAAAAGGAAAACAATTGCTTTGAAAAAAATGTTTTGGGACTAAAAATTTTTGCGGATAAAATTTGTGAATCTGAATTACCCCTTAAAATATCTTGAAAAAATTTCTTAGCGATTGTTTTAATTCTGCCTCTTTTCACATTCTCTATATTGATAAATTTAATAGAAGGGCAAAGATTCTCGATGTTTTTGATTAGGGCTGGTCAAATCTAGTTTGGAATAGGTCATTCGTTTTGACCAAGTTTAATGGCGGGAATTTTAAAGAAATCCGTGTTTTTTTAAGAAAGCAGGCAGACCTAGTCGAAATCGTTAAATGCGGGACGAACTGGTATGGTTCGATGCTGCTCTTCGAGCTAATCAAACCATAACGGGCGGCCCGGATTTGACAATTTTGAATCGAAGTTATATCTCGGTTGTATATCGGGTATACCTTTTTCTTAAATTTTATATTTTAATTTTTAAATATAAATCTGTTCACCTAATTTTGATTTCAGAAATGATTTTGAAAATAATACTAAAATTCATGGAAAATAATAAACAATATCACCTGTGATTGAGTACAAGAAAAAGATTTCAAAGAATTAGAAAATTTTTTAACCCTCCAAAAACCGACCGACCCAAATTTCTACTACAAAAACCCAAAATTTCCCTTCTATTAAATTAATTTTTTGATATACAAATTGACTTTTTCATTTTATGCTTTATATGCTTGTACACTTAAATTTACATTTTTTATAAACCAAAAATTTTTTTTTCTAAAAAAATATTTTTAAATTCACAATTTTCTTCCTATTTTTCCAAAAACATTTTTTTAATTTCCTATTTTTTGCTAATTAAAATTTATTTTTTATTTGCTGCTTTCCTCAAAAAGAATTTTTTGTTGTTTCCCAATTGTATTATATTTTGATATTTTTAATTTAAAGTTCAGAATTTTTGAAGAAACACCCCTCTTTATAAAATTATTTTCTAGCAAGTTTAAAAAAAGAGTTGATTTCATAAAAAAAATTGAGTAGATACGTAATGCATCAAAACCAAGGTCTGAAGCATTTTCAGAGAAAGGCCGTCTCTAGAACGTCTCTAGAACTTCAGTGATGGGATGATGTGACTTAATTGACTTGAAATCCGATAACAATTTTTTCTTAATCTGTCCCATTTCTAATATCCATTATAGAACAAATCTTTGTGAGGCTGCTCTATATTTGTGACCCCCCTCCCAATTAGAGAAAATACGGGGAATTTATAGAAATATAAAAAATTTTTGAAAAGGCATCTCAAAGCCCCTTAATTCCCAAACTTTCTAATTTTTGATTTATTTTCGAGAATCCGAGAGATAACAAAAAATTATCGTCTGGCGGTAAATAAAAAGAATTTATTTAAAAATAAAAAATAAATTCGAAAAAAAATCCTTGAAAATATTTATTTTATAAAAAATCATTTATTAATAAAAATATATGAAGAATTATTTAAATAAACAAAAGTCCATTTTTTAAAACAAAATTTTTAATAAAAAAATTTTTTTCTAGAAATTTAATGGACTTTTTATAAATTTTAGAAAAAAATTAAAAAAGTATAAAATCATGGCCCGTTAAAAATTTATATTTTTTGACGCGTGGTGAAGTGCGGCGCAAACCGGATATTTAATGGTTTTGCACATTAAAAGGGCATAGAAACAATAATAAAGTATTTAAAAGTTGGGCATTTTAAATATAATATTTAAATTTAATTCAAAAAAAATTTTCTTGAATTTTCTAATTTTTCACAGGTTTTAAAAACTGAAAAATTTAAAATGCCCAAACTTCTCTTAAAATAAAATTAATTTTTATAATTTTGAATTAGAGTATTTTTTAATAATTATTATTTATTTACATTAAGAGGGGTAGGAAAATATTCAAGAAATTAATTTTTTTCTGCTTCTCATTATCCAAAAAAATTTTTTTGGGTGTGGAAAAAGTTTAAAAAATTATTCTAAGGGAATTGAAATAAAAAATAATTTTTTTTTTAATTATTTAAAAACCCCTCAATAAACAAAATAATTTATTTCCCATATTTTTAAACAATCCTATCTCTGTTGTTTGCTAATTTGCAAATCACTTATAAGACTACTAGCTTCTTCATCCAAATCCTCATCGTCAATTGAAGGTAAATTTTGCGGTGGTAATTGTTGTTGTTGTTGACAAACCTTAAAAACATTTATTTATTTTAATGTTTTTATATAAAATGTATTTCAATGTTTTAATATTAAGTAAATGTTTGGGAATGTTTTTTCAATGTTTGGAGAAAAAATAAAAATTATTTTAACCATTGTTTGTTGTTGAGGCAACATTTGTTGTTGTTGAGTAGACTCAAAATGTTGTTGTTGATGTTGTAATGGCAAGGTTTGTTGATGTTTTTGGTAATTCGAACATTGTTGTTGTTGGTAATTAAAAGATGTTTGTTCAAACATCCCTCTTTCTTCCAAATGTTGTTGTTGATGTTTTTGTTGAGAATAATGTTGTTGGGTTGGATAATTGTTGTAATTGACACCAACAACATTTTGTTGTCTAACAACATTGTTTTTAGGAATATTGTTTTTAGGAAAACTGTGTTGGGATTGTTGTGTTTGAGGATGTTGTCCTCCCATTTGTTGATTATAATGTTGATAATTTTGACCAAACATTAAATGTTGTTGTCGTTGGTAAACATCATAATGTTGTTGTGTGTTTGCAATAACAGAAGAAGGATGTGTTTGTTGATATTGTTGATGTTGGTGATATTCTTGTTGTCTTTGTTGTTGCTTTTGATGTTGTTGAGGAGTATAATTAACAGAAGGAACAACAACGTTGTTTGTTTGCAAGGGAGATGTTTCTGGTGACAAAAGTTTCTGGTGACAATTATTATGATACACATGTTGTCTGTTTTGTTGCTTGTTTTGTTGCTGTTTTTGTTGAAAGTTTTGTTGTTGTTGTGAATGACAATGTTGTGGATAGCCTGAAAACGATGTTTCTGCTGTAGGCATAAAAGAGACAGTTGAGTCTGACTGAGTTGGTTGATTTTGATAATAGAATTTTGGGTGATATCCTAAAAATATTGTTTAATATTTTTATTTAAAATCTCCTCTCAATGCCAAGGGTTGCCCCAATATTTTTAGCAACACCCCCATGTGGCCCTACACCATAGATAATGTTAAGGAAATACCATAATGACGATATTGTTGAACAGGTGTATTTTCAACAGTATAATCAGCAGCAACAGGCATAATAGAATTATCTAGAGCAAATCCTTCATTCTGTTGTTGTGTCCATTTTGATTTAACTCTATTATCAACAGGAATAACATGTTGAACATTTGTTGCTACTGTTGCCCCACAAGAGAGTTCGTTTGAATGTTGGGGAGAGTAAAATGTTTGTTGTTGTTGCAAATGTTTAGAAACATCTGGACTGGGTATGGAATTATATGTTGCTGACAACATTAAATCCTCGTTTGTAGTGTTTCTATTATAAAAATAGGAAGGATGTTTTTGTTGATGTTGAGGAAAGGCAGCAACAGAAGGGTTAAATGAAACATTTCTTGTTGTTGACTGTCCTGTGTCTGTAGGCCAAACATTTTGTTGTTTTGGTTGTTGTTGTCCAAAAGCTTGTTGTTGCATTAAAACTTCGTTTTGTGGAGTATTTGAAATGCTAAAACGTTGCATTTGGGTAATAGGAGAATTGGAGTCTGAAATTGTTTCAATCCATTGGCTATTGTCTTCATATTGACGACGCAAACCGGGAGCAACTGTAGCTGTGACTCTTTTCTGTGAAGCTGGTTGTGGATTGTTGGATGCGTTACTATGTGGCTGAAGTCCGGATGAATCCTGAAATTGTTTTGAATTTTCATAAAATGGTGATAATGTTTGGGAAAAGAGACAGATCACAAGTGTTTTAAGGAGAATCTTATAGATGTAAAAAAAATCCAAGAAACTAAAGTCAGAAGAAAGCATGGTGAGGTCTTAAAAGAGAAGGTGAAACTAGTAGCACAGTCTGTAGAGGATTTTTAAAGATTTTTTTGTAGAGGACAAGTAAATTTTCTATTATGGACTTGGGATGAATTCAAGAGAGGTTTAACTCATAAAACTAGATAATCCAAAGTTATCGAGAGAAATATAATTATTTACCTGCCAGTTAAACCCTTGTTGCGGAGAATATTGTAGCATTGGAGCAACAGACGCAAGTGATTTATTCGAAGGCTTAGACTGGTTAATTATTCCACCCTCAGAATTTTGACTTGGAGAACCATTGTTGGAAAGAAATTGTTGTTTCTGTTCTAAAGAAGGTTGCCTTTGAAGCTGTGAAGTATTTGAAGGATTTTGGATGGAGGAAGAAGGTGACTGATTTTTGCTTTGATTTTCTACAGAATTTCCAACATTTTGTTGTTGTGAATTGTTTGTTGCTGGGGAATTATTTAAAGAATTCCCTCCCCCTACATTATTTTGTTTTTGTTGTCTTTCCACACTTTCATTAGAACAGGGAATTATTTCTTCAATTAAATCAACACAATTTTCATCATCTTCTTGGTGATGTTCTCTAAGTGTTGGTAATTTTGTAACGTTTTGATGTTGTTGTTGATGTTCTCCTGTTGATTCGGGTGGAGGGGTTGTATAACAAACCTTTGGATTAAAAAGAGAGAGGATAAATTTTATTTCGAGAAGTGATTTAATATGTTAATTCTCTAAAAAATTCTAAAAATAGGTCTGGGTTAACGGATACAAATATTCCAAAATAAGTCAAAATATTCGGGAATTTCCCAAGATCCACCAACTCTAGTGCACTTTATTTATCAGAATCCATTTATCAAAATTAAAATAGAATACAGTTATCAGAATTAATATATACTCTCAAAGGATGGAACTTTTAACAAAAACGTAAAAACGATAAAACTTAAAGATATTAAATAAAAAATGAGGTTCAAAAATAATTATTTATAGGTAAAAATGCTTACATCAACTTCACGATCCTCATCACTACTGCTAGCACCATAAGGCATTCTGAAATTTAATTAATTTTAGAAGTCAAAATTGATAATACTTTTCATTCAAAAATATAATTTTCAAAAATATTTCTCATAAAAATCTACTAACGCGTAAGGAGTTCCATCAGGCCTTATTCCAATTAGCCCATAATCTTTTGCTTTTTTCCTTTCCTTATTTGCTTTGGCAAAAGTCCAAACAGTTTCCCCATGTTCATGAAAAACGTGTTTTCTGAGTGAAGAGGGATCTGTATAGCGTTTTGAACATTGAAATACTGGACATCCATAATCTTTTTCGTCTTTATGTGTTCGGTTTTGATGCTTGGCTTTGTCTGAAGCATTTGTAAAGGTCTGGAAAAATTGAAGATTTAATGATTGAGATAAATCGAAAATTTAGCTCTCTTGGTAGTTACTCCGTTAATAGAGACAACAAATATATTTTTGATATATCACCATTTCATG